TGGAGTACTGCCACCTGGTACTGACTAACAAGTGGAGTACTGCCACCTGGTGCTGAATATCAAGTGGAGTATTGCCGCTTGGTGCTTCTCCCTACTCCAAGCACTGACTGTACTGTCTCAGGAACTCAAGATCCCCAGTATACAAGTGCAGTGCTTTGGTGAACGGAACAGTGTTTGTTTTAATTCCATTTAATATGCAACAGGGCAGATAATCTTTCACTGGTGACAAGGAAATATAAACATGTTTAAAAGGTCGTTGCTACTCTCGCTCTCCAAGGTAACGGAATACATACAGCACTCGGTAAGAAAACGTTCATGTAACACGCACAAGCTATCAGTCATAGATCATGCTATGTCCCTTTAGCATAAAGGCCATTTACGTCTGTGAATTGATGTTCTTCTGTAAAAGACTCTCTTTGAAGATCTCTCAGCTTGCTGGAACATGGTGGTTACATCTGAGTGCTGTGACAACCATATGCTAAGAACAGATCCCCCATCTCAGCCCTCACATAATACAAATACTGGGTTATATGAATCAAAACTTTAAGGTACATTTTCCACTGGAATAAACAGCATTTTAGTATGTCTACCCACTGAGAATTTTGCAAACAAACATCCCTCTGGTCATAGCTTTTATAAAAGTTGAATTTATCTAAGTAGTTTACATCAGGATGAGAAGCCAGTTACAGCAACAAACCCAGGTCCAAATCCTTTATATCTTAAAAAACAATACTATTTCCTTTTGAACGCTGTTTCTTACTTGATTAAAGTGTTTTTTCCTAATTTCATTGTTGCAACAAATTGCAGCTGGATATATTCTTAAGTCGCTTTTGCTTTGGTATTTGCTTTGCCCAGTTCAATAATTAAAAAACTCATCTTAGGTCACTAGTGTCAGAAACCCCTTCACCTCCTTAAATTTTCTCTGAAATCCCGGTTTAACTGGCTGAGCACTGTTGACATCAAGGTCTGATGCAGTGTAGGGACAGTACCCAGTGAGCTAGTCAATGCACATCAATATGACATTGAAGAGATATAAATTACACAAGTCACAAGGTTGGTGCTGTATTTTATTAGCATGTAATTTAATTAAAAATGATAATAATAATAATAATAATAATAATAAGAAGAAGAAGAAGAAGAAGAAGTAATAACATAAAAACTGTCCCCATATGCTATCAGAAGTGTTTTACACATTTCAGATGAAACTACAGTATAATGGCCACAAAAGTCAAGATATATACTAGTGGTTATTTTAGCACTGAATGTTTAGCGTAACCCTCTCCAAAATGTACCCTACACACCCCAGAGGGGGCTTCTCAGCACAGCGTAACCCTCTGTAGCCACACTTTGTTTCCAAAAAAATGACAAAAGATTCACCACTTGGTGATTTTGTTCTTTTTGTTTATACTCCATAACTATATAAAACTGACTTGAAACTGTGATAGAGCAAATTTAAAAATAGAGATGCTGCATGCTCTGACACTGCTGCATTACCGCAGGGGGCAGGTTTCCTCTTCCATGAACTGCCAATAGTCAATAACTTGGGCAGCACCAGGGTGGGGCTTGCAAGGCTTAAGCTTTGACTGATTTGTTTTTTAACCAATCACCATCACTGCGTTTTGATGCCTGACAAATTCTTTGCCAAGCCCAGTGTATCCTGTTACCCTTGAACCACTCCTGGATAATGATGTAAGTAGCGGGTTGACCTAAAGGTGGATGGAGTATCTGTGAAATAATTACCAAACTTCCTTGTTCCGACTTCCTGTTTGGATCCTTTTCATCCACTCAATAAATTAACTCAAATAAGTAAGCTACTGCATAAATCCCATTTAGCAGAATCTGAATAATATTAAACTTTAAATAAGCAAATCATTTATTAAATTCAACAATCTCTATTAAAATCATTTTAGAAACAGTAATCAGGTCCGAGCGCAGATGACTTTTGTTCTTCTTATCAATGCCATCTTTGTTTTCTGCGTTACACCCACAGTGGAGCACTAATAATGAGGAACATAAGCCTGTTTAAACCACCGGGTTGCATGGTCGATCAACCGATGGTACCAATCATCTGTGAAGGTACAGCTTGGCCTTTTCACAAAGACTTATTCTGGATGTTGTTACTAAAATCATTCTACAGTAACTGTGGTACATTTCGCATTTCTAGTATAATGTAATGCAGGATGTGGGAACATAACAAGCTTTCCAAATGAGAGGGGTATATTCAGCTGGCTTCTAAGTGCTGTAATAAGAGCAGCTTCAAATCATTCTTAGAATAGCATGCAGTTTAATCAAGCCCCGACCGCTCCCTAAAGAAAGTGTCATTCCAATCCTGCTTAAGACTCCCCCAGTTTGAAATTCCTAGCTCCTCAGGATTTTGGATACTTGGATTCTAACCCTATGTACACAGAAGTGATTAAAGTTTAGCCTTGCCAATGTGTAATTTTGCAGCAGAGTGACTTGACTGTTATGAAAGACAACCTTATGGGGACTGCAGACGTATGCAGAGTTCAGGATGAGGCGTCTTACAAATGAACGTAAGATGCTTGGTTGCTTTTCTGCCTACTCACTACAATGCCATGTTGCATTCAAATCAAAGCCGATATCCTGCTTTAAAAGTTATTCCAGAGTATGAGATGCTGGTAGTAGATTCATTATTTTACCCTGAGTGAATTACTCTCCATTAATCCTGGCAAAATTCCACACGTCAGCCATCCCACTCTCCATAACACTACTTAAACCTAGAAATGTTTCCTGCTATCCCAATACATTCTTCAGTGGGGTTTGTCAGTTCTGATTTACAATGTTGTTCTAAATGAACTCAAAAGGTATGGTATATGTGATACTTTAAAGAGACAATGAAGTACCAGAAATTGCAGAAAATAACCCAGGCATTTGGGAAAAAATAGTATGGGTCTACACTACAGGGGAATATAATTATGGACAATCTGTCATACTGCAAGAAATGAGAGACGGGCTTGGAAATGAAAGAGTAGTGAGCAGTAACTGCATGCACATCACTGATGTTACCAGTGACCTACCTGATAATGTCATCATTGTGACCCAGGAAAAACTTCTGGCTGTGGTCCCTGGTGCTGTAAACCACGCCAACCCCAGCCACGAAGTACACCACCTCCTTGCTGGCCGTGTAGTACAGGTTGTTGCGGCACTGGTGTCCCCTGTAGCCATATATCCACTGCAGTCTGAGCTGGGAGCGCGGAGCTGTCCTGTCTGCCATTTCACAGCCCTCAAACCTATCTAACTGTCAAAGCTGCAGCCCAACCACAGCCTAAACGATATTCTCAGAACTGTATGGTCTTACCTTAACTTGGCATTAAATCTTGGTACAAATTACAAAGTATGTGCTTCATTCGTGCAACTGAAAATCTCCCCTTTGTACAACTGTATACTTATTTCTTAAATGTTTCATTTTCTGTATATATTGCTTATAGATTGTGTTAAAGAAATGATAGAAAAATGTACTAAGAAATTTTCTTTTCCTTATCGATTTCCTAATTAAACTAGGTTACGAATTAAATAAAAACTTTTCTAAAACTTTTCTTTCAAACGAGTAGAAAACAACTAAAATTAGATCTAGATTAGACGGAAATTTTAACGGGAAAAACTGTCATTAAAGCAAATTAGTACAACCACCAAAACATAATCCGCATACTAATCCCCTGCCCTGTCCTCAGACATGATAGAGAAAACCTTTCCATGTGCCTCCTCGTTACGAAACACGAATAAAAATAGTAACTACATCGCAATCAGATTTGTTTGTATTAAAAAAAAATCAACCCGCAATCAAAAGCACCGTTCAGACCAATTATTCGTAATAAGTTGCATACAATCGAGGAGTCCAGAGACTGAAACCTTTTCCCATACAGTTTACCCCTGAAACGGTGCTGCCTAAGCAAGGACGCCTGAAATTCAATTTATTATTAACTTCCCTGCAATGGCAAATTAACAGCCAGGCGAACAATCTTCCTCATCACACTCCTTTCTCTAATTTGCATTTCAAACTGTAAATTAACGCCTGGCATCAAACACAATGTGAAATAAAAAAACGGATAAAGAAACAATATTGCATACAAAAAACAGAGCAACTGATTTCTGTAATGCAAACTTTAAAAAGGCAGTGGTTTAAGGAAGACGTGATCTGTAAAAGCCTGCCGCTGCTCCAGCGAAATCCCGAGACGAGGCGCTCTGCTTTCTACCTGACCGCATCTTTAAGAGACTGAGGCATTTAGAGACCTCCTCCAGCCAGTGACGCCCGAATGAGGCCGGTCGATCGCAATGGCTCATGGGGATTGATGTTTAAGTGCCCTTCTTACCTTTACCGTTAAAGCGCAGGTAACATGCCAAAAGAACTACAACTCCCGGCTTTCAAACAGAGCGCGCTGTCCGAGGTCCTGCATTTTGGAAACGACAGACATTACTTCGAAATTCCGATGTTCGTGACAGCGAAGGTATCTTTTAATCCATGGGATATAAATATAACCTTAGAAATATCGTTGGACTTTGGCATAGCCTGCTTGTCATTTTATCATTTTAGCATAATGTATGTACGTGTGTGTGTATATATATATATACTGTATATATATAGAGAGAGAGACACAAGATAAAAAGAAAATCAATCGACATTTAAAAATATGTTTAATATTTCTTATTGTATTTGATTACTACTAAAAACGGAATTCACTTGAAGACTTCGGATTTCATTTGATTTTAATCAGTAAATTGCTTATTTACATATTATGGTGCACAGAGACCTTATACAATAATCCATCCAGTTTACAATCTTGTATCCTGCATGGTAACGCTGGTGGCCCAGAGCCCATGCCAGGCAGCGTAAGGCATAAGGCACAGGCACACTCTGGATGGTCCATTGTAGAAATGAGCACCTCTCAGCCAGAGATCCAGATTAAACCCCTGTGACTCCTGTTTTGGGGGCTAAACTTAGATTCCCTTCCCTGCACCCTTTTCCAGTGAGTGTGAGAGACACAGTCCCCCATAACTGGAAAACACCCATTTACCTCCTTTATTACAAAAGGTATAAAATTATCCATCCATCCAACCTCCAATCACTAACCTGGTACAGGTTTACTGTAATCATCATACCTATCCTACTGTACAGAGCCCAAAGCAGAGGGCACCCTAGATAGAATGCTGGTCCATCGCAGGGCTCTCACACACACATAACACAAAAAAAAATCTCACATTATGGGTGTCACACCTGCCCCTGGTTACTAATTGGGTAACAGAAGCTGCTCTTGACTGGGTGAGCTTAGAGCCCAACTTTGTTATGGAGAGTAGTGAGCAGTGCTCGGTCATCAGCATCTCTCTTTGAGCACTGGGCTCAGCAGTAACCTTGTCGGGGGTTTGGTTTTTAAGGTTAGTCTGTGTTGGTATGTTTTCTTGGGTCTTGCCAGTGTAGGTCTGTTTTCTGTGTTTGATGATGTGGTTGATGATGTGGGTAGTCTGGGGACTGGTTTGAGAAATACTTATGATAAGACCCAATTAACCCACGCTGCTGCAGGTCAGCTCTTCCATTTCTTCAGGACATTTACATCAAGAGATGTAGGAGCAGGGCCTTCAGAATCATAAAGGACACACCCCACCCCAATAACAGCCTGTTTCAGCATCTGAAATCAGGAAAGCGTCTTAGGAACATCATGGCCAGGACTGAGAGACTTAGGAGGAGTTTCTACCCCCAGGCCATAAGGTTTCTGAACCTGACATGCCATTGCACTTCACACCCTGATGTACATTGTGCTCTTGTATCCCTCACGATATCCACACTGTTACACTGGTCACTTTTTTATGTCTGTGTTACTGTTCATTTTGAACATACTTCTCTGCTCGCATTTTAGCTTTTTGCACTTTAGCATAATTGGATTTTTAACTTGCACAGTCTACAAAAGAGCGGTTCAGGATGCATTTCACTACGTGTTGTACTTTGTATAACTATGTATGTGACAATTAAAGAATTTTGAAATCTTGAAAGAAAAGAACTCCAGGAAACATGAAACAGAAAATATAAATAGTTTCCTTTCATGTACAGTCGGAATGGCATTATCTCTGAAATGACATTTTTTTGTCACCATGCATCTTGGGGGGAAGGCATTTCCCTGGACATTTTTATTAGAAGTACAGTTTTTTTTATTTACTAGCTGTCTAATTATTAACATTTGCTGATGCCTGCTTTATGGATTTGGTAGATAATTCTGAGAATAATGCAAAACACTGAAGTAGCTGAACTAAACAGAATAAATATTGTAGAATCTAGCCATACTGAAGCTTCCCAGTCTCAGAGGTACAGAGTGGCTGTTTCACCTGCTGCCCCAGGCCACTCTAAGTGAAGAACGGGCTTCACCACTTTCCCTGCCTGCTCCTTTCTCAATGTACCACAGCTTCTTACTCTATTGTAACCAGGCATCGTGTCTAAGATGAACCCAATAGTGAATTCAATGTAGATTTAATCAGACGTAATATCAAAGTGTACTCATTTAATCAATATGTATTTTAGAATATATGAAAAGTAATATCACAGTGAAAATGACTTTTTGAACAGAAAATAAGTATTTCTTCAATCTAGTGGTAAAAACTGGAAAATTGAAATGCAATTAAATAAATACATCATCGATTCACTGTTTTCTAGGCAATAATATATAGTAGTATCATAGAGTAAATAACAACATTTAAATTGCATTTGTTTTTTAATAAAATGCTAATGTTTATCTTCAGCTATATATTTTGCACAACTAAAATGACTTCTATATACCAGATTAGACTTCATTTGATGATATGTGAAATGATCAGTGCTGATACACAGTATGGAAACAGACAGTAGAGACTGATTTTTAAAAGCATTTTAATGACATCGCACATATTGAACAGGTATGGTGAGTCTACAAGGGCAGCCCAATACATGAGAGAGCCAGACCTGCTCCGCCCACAGCCATGGGCTCAGCAAAGGCGAAAAAAGAGAAAACATTCCCATAGTTAATTTTTTGATTGTGCATCTGGATGGAAATTTTCAATGCTATAGGTACAATGACAGAGAAATGCACACTATGTATCAAAGAGCAAGTTAATATAGCAAAAAATTTAAACACACAGTGCTATAGCCAACAAGCAAGCATCTGTTTCGGAATAACATTTTTTCCCATTAAATGCTTTAATTCCACTTTTCCACTTAACAGCAATGCTTTAACATGTTTATAATACATCTATATTTTTAATATTCTGTACTAGAATGACATAAAATGTGTAATGGAACTGAGGAACAACAAATAAAGTGAAAACAGCAAAAAAAAAAAAAAAAAGAAAACAATGCGAAATTAAGTAACTAAAATCCATTTATAATCTCAGGCTTTCTTGTGTCCCCAACATTGGCACCGGTTCTGATCCGCACATGTAAATTCTGGCATTACTGTGGTGACATTTGACTTCTATGGTTTTTTGTCTATATAAATGTGGTTTTCTACAGAGTGTCGGCAAAGGCAATATACTGCCTGGAAGCTTATAATGGATGAATCGTCTATTAGTTAGGAGAGCGCAGAGCTACCTTTCTATCAGGAACTGGCTGGCTGTGGCACGGCCTGCCACCATGGGCTGTGTTCAGAGCGGCCGAAGGACACGGACCAGCACCGCGTCGCCATACCGCCGATGATAAGGATGCAAGTCGTCTTCACCAGACAGCCTCACAAAATTGAGGAAATGTTTAAATATATAGAGCCTATAAACTACTTATACTTACAAAAAAGAGAAGAATTACCAAAAATCAAATGGCAAAAAACCCACAAATTAAGAAAGAGCAAAACCAAAAATCTGTCTGGTCCTGTCAAGACAGTTAAAGTTTCGAGATGGAAGCTGCCCAACAGATCCCACACCCTCACTTAAGACCTTGTTTTGTGTCCACCGTATTCTTTTAAAAACTGTCTGTAAGTTCTACACCCGATCCCAGGAATGTTAGGCACAGAGTGTTTAGTGTTGGTTCTCAGCTTGCATGCTTGGAAAATCACTGGAGTTGGCTGGAGACATGGATCTATTTCTTCTTGCTGAACAGGCTGAAGCGCTTCTCTTTCTCCTTCTCCTTCTCCTTCTCCCTTTTGCCCGGGCTGGACTCCGTGGTGAGGCTCACGCTGGCGGGCAGGGTCTGTGCGCGGCTGGAGGCCGGACTCGCCTGCTTGCTGGAGGTCAGAGCAGAGCTGTCGGAGGCCGTCGCGTTCAGGATGGCCTGGATCCACGTGTTCATCTCCTCCTGTGGGCGGGATTCCAGCACAGACCATCAGCAGAGCGCCACCCACTATCTTGTCACAGTGGCTCACCAGTATGAAGCAGGACCTTTTTCCAGCTGTGGTATTTCTAATTACATTACATTCAGATGCTTGTAATAGCTGAAGAGGAAAGTACGTGAATCAAGGATCATAAAGTACAGGCAGTCCCGGGGTTCAGAATGTCCCACGTACAGACAACCCAAACAGAATGCCATAAAGCCTATTATATAAAAAATACAGGATAAATACAATGGTTAGTAAAAACATTCACAAGCACTACTTTGTGATGCATGTGAAAATATTGCACGGCTTCAGCGGGTCACCAGCTTGAGGTACAGTGCAGTACCATATGTACTAACTGTACAATAAATGTACTGTACTGTATTACTGTATAATAATAATAATAATAATAATAATAATAATCTGAATCTGATTAATAATAATAACCCGGGGACTGCCTGTACTGCATTTACAGTAGCACTATAATCTACAATTACCACTAGTATTAGCTGAACTAACAACATATAAAAGGCTAGGTTTGCATTAAATAGACTTTTTTTCCCTTTGTTCACTGCTAAAAAGCAAAAATACCTAAGTTCGCCAACCTCTTCAGATACCAAAACTGTGACATTATAGTGCGGTTTGTAAGGAGTCACCATTAGGATTATGTTGAGTGAAGACCGTGATACAGCAGGACAAGCTCAATTTCTCAGCACTTATTATCATTACTAATAACACCAGCCAATTTGATTCATAATTAAAGTCAAGAAGGCTAAAGAAAATCATAATTATGAACATTATCAATCACCCAGGGTGACTTATTCTTAATCAGCCCTGACCAGAGCACCTCTCAGCCAGAGATCCACGATGTCAGCTTTACCCCAGTCTCCGTTTCATGTGTAACATTAGGACAGGAGTCCAGCTGACTACTCATGACCAGACTAAG